TTTACTTCTCTCTAACTGCACACAGCAGCACATGACAGCTTATGATCAGTGTTATGACACTGACATCAGTCACAGCTCTAGATGTCAGAATAAGGAGCTCAGAGATGCTGGAGTGGGCCCACCCCTTTTCAAATGCAGAATTAGCAAAAAGGGCCCTATTTATAGCCAACTAAGAATGGAAGGGTTTGTGATGTAGAATACACATACATTCTCACACATTCTATGTGCACATAAAGTCTAAATTGCACTCAGATACTTTTTTAAAACTAATTCTTTTTTCATATTAAGCTATACACTTAATCAGACTTTCAAACTTACTGTTTAGTGCAATTCCCTAAACTCTGCTTCCAAGGAAAGCAGCTCTGTTAATTTTACCTAACAATCCATTTCTTCTATTTAACTAGTTCCACCTCATTCCACATGGTTAAGTTAGAGACAACCTTTTAATATATTATGTATCATGTATAATATATCACTCATCTCATGCCCAGACCTCAGATGTTTCAATTTCATGAGGTCAAATGAAAAATAAGAGGATTATTTTTAAATGAGCAGCGTTCTACAATCCATAAAGAAACCTGCTACAATATTTCTTTTTAGTCTATATTCACTCAAAGCGCGAACAAACATAATTAATAAGCATTTTACTCAGATAATGTCACATGGCTCACTAGTAAGAACTACTAACAAGTCCTCAGAGCAAAAGTGTAAAAACAAGAAAACTGTTTCCTATGCAATGATTACACTGAAATTGCATTAAGATCTAGACTACAAAAGAAAGAAGTCAACAGGCATTCAAAATCTACCTGGGACAAACTGGCTGATATTGTCAAACATGTTACTCCAATTCAGCTGTTATTTCCAGCAGCAAAACCTCCAGAGATGACCAAGTGAATCAGCAATGATTTATTTTGGCTAAATAACTCCTTGCTTTTATTACAGTATATTTACACTTCCACTGACAAAGAACAAGTGTAAACTACTTGAATAAGGACTCAAGATATTTTTCAGTAATTTGAGAACTGAGATAAACCAAAATTTAATACCTGAAATTAGTATTAAAGTGTAGCTTTTTCCTTCCCTATAGGAGTACAAACCAAGAATAATTCAATAGGTCAGTAGTGTAATACAACTTTTCACTTTCTTCTGAGATGAGACTTCACCATTACAAACTATTAAAAGAGAATGAATACTAAAATCTCATTGAATCTCAAGCATATATAAAGCCTCTTTATGCTTCACTGTCCCAGCCTTTCAACATGCTATTATTGATGGAATGAAAAAAGGCAGAAGAAATGGAAATCTTCTAAAAAATACATTATCTTTGATACATGCTAATGCCATGGCTGCCATGAAAATGGCAGGTGAAAATGCAGTTAGAAGGCTTGTTTTACTTTAAACATAATCCTGAAATATTAATGCTTCAAAACTTTGACACTCAAAACAGCTTACTTTGAAATTGAAAAAAGAGTGTAGGTTAAGATTACATACTTAAGACCACAGTAAGTCATGTGTTATTTTCAACATTATATTAAAGCTTAGAACAGTGCTTGTTTTGACTTCTTATTCCTATTTTAAAAGTTGTATTTACAAAGGTACTACTGGATCACGTGCAAGATTCTCCATGTACAGCTCAGTGTCAGGTCTCCCCTTTATTTGACAACCATTATACAGGATTGCACAATGTTTTATTCCAGTAGAATATGTGCTGGAAACTTTACTTCCTTCAAATGCATATAAAGTGAGATTTAGCATCTGAACACCAAAAAGAAAAAGCTGTTTTTCTCAATCAGTGTCTTCAAATAAATCTTTCTTTGTCAGAAAAGCTTTCATATGTCTGTAATCACAAATACAAAAATCACCCATCATTCAGGAAGTTTTCCTTACAAGAAATTCCATTATATATTGCTTACATCAATTCTGACCATTTCTATTCAGAGAAATATCAGAAACTTTAGTTAGAACTTACCCATTTTTACTAAATACCCGTATCCATGCCTGTATGTTTGGTCCCAGCAAACATAAGCACTGTAAAGTAGTAAATGTAGACAGAAGAACTGCAAACAAAAATGTCTCAGTCACTGACCTACAAAAAGAAAAAGAATATTACTAAATAAAGTGAGGTGGTTGCTAATGTTCTAAAAGTTCCAATATTTAAAGCCCCTCTAACTCAACTTGTGGAAGCATGTGTGTTTTCTTAAACTTCATATAGAAGAATATAATATTTTCTTCTTATTTCTTCTTCTTTCTTCTCTACTATTCTCTGTAGAATAGTAAAGGAAGCTGGAAAAAGTTCTGCTGTTATCTTGGGTGAGATGTAGTAATTTTTTGAAATGCCTGATACCTGTAACATTTCTGAAAAACCACAAGTGTACCTCAGATAGATCATTAGTTCTAAATTGAAGTATACTTGGATATTTACTTCCATTATTCCACTTATTTTTTCAGTTTGATGTTGCGACAGCAACAAAGAAACCAAACTACATGATACTATTGTTAGTCAGCAATTTAGTGCATCTCTCAAAACCCAGGTTGCTTCATACTTCTTTCTTTAAACTTTGATAAAAGTTAAAACACTAATAGCAAAAGGATGAAAGATATGCAAAATGTGTGGCTTAGAATCTTATAGGGAAAATGACTTAATGAAACTCCAAAAAATGTTTGAGCCATATGTTTAACATAAAAAACAAACCAGAACAACAACCCAAAACCAAAAGAAAGCTAAAACAGCCACCATTCTTTCCCCAGCTAGGAGCTTATCCCTTAACTTCCAGTGTACCAGAAAATGCACAAGTACTTATATCAACATCTGCAAGGAGAGCTGCCCCTTAGAATGTTTAGAGAAAGAGAGGGTTTTCTGACTTACTCTATGAGAGGTGCTCCATAAAGAACAATAATCGCATGAAATAGTATGCAAGACATGAAAAAGTATATACAGCATTTTAGAAATCTGGATATCTAAAAAAAAGCAATGAAATATCAGAATAGTGCTTCAAAATGAAACATAAGTAACAAAGTCTGTATCTTATCAACAGCATTGTACTCTAATTACTTTTTAATTTCAGCTGCAGCTATAATAGCATGGCATATTTCAAAAAGTTTTCCATCAATTAATACTTTAAATAATTAATTTAAAAATACTACACTCTACCTACATTTTTTTTCATGCATCCCATTGAACAGGGCAAACATACAAAAAATATAATCAGAAGTAATTTTATTGGATATTTTTACACTTCTGTTTTACTGTCATATTCATTCAACAAAAGGCAACTCTCACAAAAAAAAATTCAAAGCACAAAAACATACCATATAAAAAAGTCTGCTACACAGAGAATAAAAATTACATTAACTAAAACTACAATTTGAACTTTACATCTTAAATTCTGAATGTATTTGAGAAATTTCCATAACTTTCTATAGCCTGGAAAACACATAATTTTCTATGAACTTAAACAAGTTTCTGGGTACTCACTATATCATGTAGAAGCCAAAACACTTGATAAACAGTTCTGGTTAGGTCTGTTCTGATCAGGTCACCAATGCAAAATCCGTAACTTTCCTTGAACCCTTATTTTTCTTTATTTATTCCTTTCTATATTTATTTCCTGGGATGAAATCTCACCTAGAATATGAAGCGTGCTTCATTTCTAAATCACAGATGGTTAAAATACTTGCTTTCCATCATGGTTTTGTGCATTTCACATCCTACTCAGTCAGCAAAACTAGACAGAAGCTTTGCATACAAAGATACGCTCAAAGGGACAATGACTTAAATGTTTAAGAACCACCTCAGAGCACTACATACTGCCTGGCTCAGCAAGTCAAGAGTACAAGACTATCCACCTGATTTCAAAACTCTGGGGCAAGTCTCGTGCTGCTCCAAAATCACTCTGCTCAAAAGGGATTCATACCTTTAATGCTCCTCGTTGCAAACTCTTAACTACAAAAAGTTTCTCACAACTTTAGATTCTTCTGTATGCAAATTTCATCATAGAAGGAAATGCAGGCATTTTAATACTTTTCCATATGATTTTTTAAGTTGTTCAAATGTAGCACAGTATCTTTCTTATGTGTCAGATTCTGTAATTCTTTTTTTCTCTTATTACAAACTTACAACTACACACGAGAAACGTGTGAAGACATTTCTTCTTGGTATATCCACTTATCAGAATGAGCCAGGCCTGGACTACAAAATGAGTTCTGTGCCATTTAATTTTGCCAGGTGTTAGCACCATGCAAATTCTTGGGACTACAAAAAACATTACATTGACAAGAAACAGGAAAGCATAGAATCACTCACCTGAACAGGTTATTTACAGGTAGAGAAAGTTTAACGTTATGAAAATACTTTAAAAATCTGTTTCAAAAGCTGCTACACTCAACTCACTAGTGGAAAATAAGAATTCACCATCAAAAATTGTCTTCTTTCTCACTTATTATTTCAGAGAATTTGCTTCCCCTCGGTATTGTCTGGTAGCAACTTATGAATTAAAAAAAAAAAATTCTTACCTTGTGAGCAAAGAAACGTCTCTTAGGAGACTGATTTGGTTTAAGGACTAAATGCAAGATTATATTAAGGGTAGCAACACAAACAGAACAAACACACAGCCACGTGAGGTGCGTTCCCAGGACACTGAATCCGTCCAGGAAGAAAGCCGGGACAACCGCGGCCAGGACGACGGACAGAGCGCAAAGGAGGTTGGCAGCCAGAAGCCTCCTGATTTCCGCCTCCCTCATGGTGCCCGGGCAGCGGCACCTGCAAGACACCGAGTCCCGGCCCGTCACCAACACACGGCAGCAACGCCGCCGGGCAGCATCTTCCCCAGCCGCAACGCGCAGAGCAGGGCTCTGGGGCCGGGCTGGGGACGAAGATGAGGATTTTGGGGCAGGAAATGGCGTTTATTCAAAAAAACCAAATCCCGCGCGGGTCGCAGGCACCAGCCGCGCCCCTTACCGCGGAGCGCGCGGCACCACCCGGCAGCGGAAAACATCGGGGGCCGGCCGGCGGCACTTCCGGGGCGGTGCCGGAAGTGGCGGTGGCTGTGGAGGGGCCGCCATGGTGTGCGACAAGTGTGAGTACGTGGGTATGGTGGTGGTGGTGGGGGGGGAATCCTGCCCACCCGCCGGGCCCTGCCCGACCCTGCCCGCAGGTATCCCCGGCTGCCCTGGGCGGAGCAACAGCCTGGGGTCCTGGGCTACTCAAGGCGGGCCGCGGGTGGCGGTTCCCGTTAGGGCCCTGTGTGAGCTGTCGTTCTCCCCTGTGTGAGCTGTCATTCTCCGCCTGTAGAGCGTATTAATACGCATAGTTTAAATGATTCTGTCCTGTATCAGCAATAGCGTGAGCAGCAGGACCGGGGAAGGCACTGTTCCGCTGTACTCGGCACTGGTGAGGCCGCATCTCGAGTGCTGCGTTCAGTTCCGGGTCCCTCACTACAAAAAAGACACTGAGGTGGTGAAGCGGTTCAAATAAGGGCAACAAAGTTGGTGGAGGGTCTGGAGCACAAGGTTCTGATGAGGAGCGGCCGAGGGTGGTGGGTTGTTTAGTCTGGAGAGGAGGAGGCTCAGGGATGGCCTTATGCCCTCCCTCTTCAGCTCCCTGACAGGAGGTTGTAGCCAGGTAGGGATCAGCCTCTTCTCCCAGACAGCAAGCAACAGGACAAGAGGACATAGTCTTACACTGGGCCAGGGGACATTTAGTTTGGACGTGGAAGAATTTCTTCCAAGTCATGGAGATTAGACATTGGAATGTGCTGCCCAGGATGGCAGTGGAGTCACCATCCCTGCAAGTGTGTAAGGAAAGACTAGTTATGGCTCTCAGTGCCGTGGGCTAGTTATATGGTGTTGATCAGTCACAGGCTGGACACAATCAACTCAGAGGGCTTTTCCAACCTAAGTGACTCTGTGCTTCTGAGTTTTTTCCCTTTGTAATGTTTCCCTATGTAGGCGAGAAGAAACTTGGAACGGTGATCACTCCTGATACATGGAAAGATGGTGCAAGAAACACTACAGGTAACCTCGGCAAGGTTTAGCAACTTGGTTTTGAGGTATTGTAAAGCCAGTTGGGCACCTGAGCTATGTTACCATCTTAAGATCAAAACTTTATATTACTAATCAGCTTAAATATTAAGTCATGTACTTTCCCTCCCATGTGGATTTAATGCAGTGGGAATTTATTTGTCCAGGATTCTTCAGTATTGAATTTATCTGTTTTTGTTTTCCGGTTTTCAGCTTCTTGCATGGGAGGACAATACATAGAGTATTTAAACAGAGTATAAAGTGTTCTGCTACCCTGTCCCGTACTGCTGTGCTGAATATTTTATCTCTCTTTGTGACTTTATTTGTGTATCTGTAAAAGCTGTAAATTAAGGTTTTTAAAGTATGCTTGGAACGGAGAAATTTATTCAGTTATTGATTTATTTTTTTTTGTAGAAAGCGGTGGTCGCAAATTAAATGAAAACAAGGCATTGACCTCAAAGAAGGCAAGGTTAGTACTTAACACTGATTTTGGCTAAGAACATCAGTTAGAAAACTAACTGAGGCCTGTTTCCTGTATACCTCGGCAACTACTCCAAACTTGTCCAAAATACACCTAATAAATTAAAATTGCAGGGATTATGGTATTTGATTAGTTGGTAAAAATACGTCCATGCATATTTCATGAGTGCTTTCTGCTCAGTCATAGAGTGTGGGCAAGTACTTTACTGCAGTTCCCACTGGAATTGCTAGGATTGGATGCTTTTGTAGGAGAGAACCCAAGAATACTTATTTTCTGTGCTAATATTGCCAGGATAATCTCTTGAGTATTTCCTTCATGTCTGCAGGAATTTCTGTTTGCAAGGGGGCAAGGTGCTGCTGGAAGGTGTTTAAGTTCAAAGTCATGTAGTATCTTCATAAAAATAAATATTTTTAGTTCTGCATTTGCAAAGTTGTTGTCTGCGATGGAAGTAATGTCTCTTCATGGGGAGAGTGGGAGCTTTTCCGCATACTTTGCATAGCCTATTTGAAATAATTCTTATATGTCCATTTTCTAAATTACAGTTTTTGCTGGAGTTTCCTACTGCACCCTCTGGCTTAGACTTTTTAGGATAAGGCAGAAAAATTACTTCATTTCAAGGTGTATAAATAAAATAGTTTTCCTTTTTCCCAGGTTTGACCCTTATGGAAAGAACAAATTTGCAATATGTCGGATTTGTAAGAGTTCTGTCCATCAGCCAGGGTCCCACTATTGTCAAGGATGTGCCTATAAAAAAGGTGAGTTTCACTTTGTGCCAAAATGCCCCAGTTTGGTTTGGAACAAGAGAGGAGGTACAACACTTGAATTTGTATTTTTGAAGAGAGAGCTAAAATGAGATTTAATTGCTATCTTCAACTACTGATAGGCAGGCAGAGGGGACATGGAGTCAGTCTCTTAGGTACATAGTAGTAGAATAAGAAGTTGGAGTACACAGGTTACAGTGTGGAAGATTCTAATTACATACAAGGAAAGCAATTTTTCAGTCTGGGAGTGATCAAATATTCTAGTAACCAGTACCATCAGAGGTTGTGGAATCTTTACAGGAGGTATTCAGAGCATGACTTGAACAGTCCTGAGTCAGCCTTATCCAAGTTGGCTGTTTTGAGTGGGGCAGGACTAGAGACTGAAGGAGATTCTTTTAAATCTTTGTCATTCTGTATTTCTGCTGCTTTTAGAATGTTTCCAGTATCTGAAGCAGTACATTTGGAAAAATAACTCTGAGCTTAATCTTGACATAGAGAACTGTCATCTAATATGTTTGATTTTCCTTAATTTAAAAAAACCCAGGTGTTGTAAAACTCAATTGCTTGTTGCAGTCCCTTTTATGGTCCCTTCTCTTCCCATTTTTATAAATAGCTACATCTAAAATTCCTGGATGGAAAAAAACCCATCATGAAGTCAGTTACATGATTTAATGCCAAGGAATTCTTATAGCACATGAAATGAACTGATTTTTAGATGTAGAGCTGCAGCTAACCAGTAGTAAGCTTTGTTTGTGGAATTAATTGTTCAGTAATATGTGCTGTGTCACCAAGTCAGTGGTGTAGGTATGTTGCCTGCTAGGTCCTCCCCAGATGGCTGCCTGAACCCCACATGGTAGAACCTTGTACTCTTAAATTTATGTCTGGTTTGGGTGGGCTTCAGCTTTGCATGCTCTGATGTTTCTCCTGCATGGGCAGAGGCAGACCATCCCATAAAAGGTGTCTATGGAGACATGCACATACTTTAATCTACCGAATTCGGGAACATGAGTAACATCAGTCTGCCATACCTCACAGCTTTCCAGCCCTCGGGCACCCTGGATCCCAATGATGGCATGGCTGTTTTCTGACAATTAGGACACACGGCCACAATTGCCCGGGCCTGATCCCACCTCAGATGGAATTGGAGGATCAGCCCAGGTACATTCTGATGGTATTTTTGGTGGCTCAGCTTTGCCTGGTGGAAGAGATCAGGAAGCCTTGCCATCTCAGTGGGTACGGCAAGGGAATTCGCTCTTCAATTTCCTTTGGCTATCGGGCCAGGCAAATCAGTATGTGATCTCACATACATTATGAAAAAGAGTTGCTCTTGGTGGGAGACAGCATAGATTAAGTTTGAAAGCAACTCAAGGAGATGCTGATTTGAGACCTCCTTCAATAAAGCATTTTCTGCTCTAGCTACCACCCCTGCAACGTACGCCGAATCCGTGACCAAATTAAATAATTCGGGAAACCTCTCAAAGGCCCTAACAACAGCAGTCAACTCAGCTATTTGAGGAGAACCCTCAACATATTCAACATCTGTCTCCCACTCCTGAGTTTGAGGATCTTTCCAAGTCATCACTGACTTTTGGGATCCTCCAGATGCGTATGTGAAAACAGGGCATTGAGTGGTCTCCTGCTCCTTTTCTCTTTAGGAATTAATCAGAATTGGAATTAAACAATTTGTAAGCAGGGGCATGGACTGAAACCTCTCCCATGTAACTGTGTAGAGCAGTCTGGAGTGTCTCATTCTCCCTTAACAACTGCTCAAACATTTCTTTTGTCAGCCTCTCTGGAAATGTTTAATCTTCAGAGAGGTTGATCGGTAAGTGAAAGCATGAGAAATCACATCTGGCCAGTTCCCGAAGCCTTGCCCTAGCTTTCCTGACCAGCTGAGCAACCAATTCCTGTGGCTTTGTAATACTTTTGGAGCGCTGGTGACTGAGGAAGACCCATTCTGTGATTAAGAGAGGGTCCCTCTGGTCCTGGTCCCATTGAAACAACAGCCCATGGAGGTGTGGCAACTTCCCCAACACAATGAATTTGAATGGTAGATCTGGTTTACACTGATGTGCTTGTCTCTCGGATAGTGGTTTTCCCATAGTTTCTGAGGCGTTCCTTGCCTCTGGGGTCAGTGACCTTGGGGAACTAAGCCCCTCTCCCCCCTTCAAAGATCGGGGCTAGGTCTTCAGTGGTAATGCCTAGCCAAGGTCTGACCGAGTTCCAAATCCCACACAGGGAATGGAGATCACTGGGAGGACCATTGTTCCTCAAAAATTGATCTTTAACAGTGGTCCCAAAACTCTGGTCGATCTCCATTCCCATCATTGGGATCCGGGGTGAATCCCCAAGGGCTGGAAAGCTGTGAGGCGTGGCAGACCAATGTTACTCATGTTCCCAAATTCGGTAGATTAAAGTATTTGCATGTCTCCATAGACACCTTTTCTGGAGCAGTCTATGCCATGTTGGGCACCAGCTGATGCAGTGCTGGAGTGCCAGGCTAGCTCACCACCACCAAGGCACCACGCCAAGTGTGGGGAACAGCTCCTGAATTAAGCAGCAGGAGCTGAACCTTAGAGCTGCTGCTCTACAGCACGTTAAGCTGTCAGCACATGGAAGAGGCAAAGGATGAGGAGGAGGCTCTCTTTATGGGTTCCAGTAATGGGTCTGTTCTCTGAAGGGGTCAGGGGCAAAGACCTCTGTGCTCAGGATTAAATCCAGGGAGGTTTCAGGGGCTGGGTATAAATTTTTAACCAATCAGGGACAAATAGGCAAGGAGCACAAGGTGGGGTTTACAATACAGGAACCAATAAGGATAAGGGAGAGGAGAGGACAGGTCACATGGGCCAATGGGGCCTTCAGGATTTGGGGATTTCCAGAGGGGTGATACAATCAGGGATTAGCCCAACTGGGGATTGACAGGGAAGGGTCTGGAAGAAGGGGCAGGGTTGCAGTGATAGGCGGGGAAGGCTCAGGAATAAGGGGTTGGGTTGCAATGTTAGGCAGCGTAGGGGAGGATACAACTTGGGTGCAAACCAACTATGGGGGAACATAGGAACAAGCCATTAACTGTACAACCATAAATTAACAAACTATTAAACACACGCCACAACACTTCAGGATTTGGTCTTTGTTTGTGTATCCTTCCAGGTTGAACGCGTTATAAAATTAAGTTCATAACATTAAGAACTTTGTAAGTGCTTTAGGTGCTCTCTCTGACCATCAAATACATCATTAAGGCATACTTCCTGAAGCAGATGCAGTCATACAGCTCAGTGCTTCAGCTGTTGCATATCTCTGAAATTGAGAAGCACTCTCAAGTTAATTAATCCTCAGTTTAGACCTGAAGTCAGTATTTACTGGGCTGAATTTTGGTCTCCAGAGTAAATGATGTGGCATGTTCCTTGCTGTTCTCTTCCCTAATGGACTTTTAGATACGTGTCCAGTCATGATGTCAATATATGAAAGCACACAATTTGAAGAAAGCAGGAGTAGATGCATGTTTTTGTCTATTGGTGAATGTTTGTGTAAATTGAGTTGTGGTCCTACCAGATAAAAGACTTAGCACCTTTCTGCTTTGAAAGGAGAGAAAACGATTGAGACAACCTCTGCCAAACTTGTATACATTTTGGTGCTCTGGTCTTTTGACTTAACACTCTTAGAGTTTAGGACAAAGTCCTGTGGGACATCAGTGTTCATCATTCAGCTCTTAAGTATTCCTGGTGTTCGTTGTTTTTCACTCCTGCTCTATAAATACCTTAATTCTATGAAAATGTATTCTAAACTTTCTCAGTAATACCCCATTTAGCAGTCAGTTTGTTGGTGACTGTATTTTCTTAGCCCTGCTACTTTCTGTCCGTCTCAGGCTTGTTTGGCTACAGGACTTATAACAATTAACAATACACCAGTTTTACCTTTTTGTCAGAAGTGAGCCTTTTCTGGCTTTCTTCAGGCATTCCAGCCATTTACAGAGGCTTTCTTGCAGTATTGTGAATGATAATGCTCTCAAAATAGAGCTTATTTTCCTTAGTGGAAGGATTGCACACACACTGCACACATTAATTTGTATTAGTATTACTTCTAAATTTGTAGTATCTATTGAGAACATGTCTGAGAACAGATAGATTGCCAATAAGGGCTCATTTGAACAATTTTTTAAAAAAGATCTTGTGTTTTTGAGGAAAGATTTTAATGATTTTAAAATAATTTACACACTTTGTGTGCTTATAGGCATCTGCTCAATGTGTGGCAAGAAGGTCTTGGATACGAAGAACTACAAGCAAACATCTGTCTAATTGTACTGACTAGTCTTTTTATGAACTTTGGCTTCAGTGTCTTTGTACAGTAACTTTTCTCTAAAATAATTTGTGAATATTACTTTCTGGAAGATAGTACATTTGCTTGGAATAAGAAGTAAAGACAGTCTGATTGCCTAAAATGTACATAATATTTCATTATTGTTGTTTTAGCACTAATATTAACTGGTATTTGAAGGTAATGGCTTTCAGCCATTGAAACTGAAACCGTTCAAAGGGAAGGAGAGGATCTGAGGGGATAGGTTGAAACTGTTACCCTCAGAACACGGATCTTGGAGATGAATACTTTTCCCCTATCACAAGTCTTCTGGTTATCTTGTGGTAATGTTTTGTAGATGTGTAAAATCTGAACTTGCATCACCTTATTAAAGTATCTTCATTTATTTGTGTGCCTTTATTTATTTATAACTATTCTCATCTCAGACTATTATGACCTTGTTCTTCAGATTTTAATGCAATTGTCCTGTTGTATTTTGTTTCTGCCTATGGTATAGTTGGTTAAATCACAAATTCTTAATCTAGTAAAATCTGGTGTGTTGCCCTGCCAGTTCTTTCTTTGTTATTGTTGTAGTTTAGCCCCAGCCAGCAACCAAGCCCCATGAAGCTGCTCCTTCACTCCCCCATCATCAGGACTGGGGACGGAATTGTAAGGGTAGAAGCTTGACAACTTGTGGGATAAAGACAGTTTAATAGGAAAAACAAACCAAAGAATTAATTCACTACTTCCCATGTGACTCGATCTTCTCGAGTGTGGCCCGGCTAGCTCAGTGATGAGGTTTCTCTTCACTCGAGTTTCAAGCCAGCATATGTTTGTGGGGTTCACTGATTTTCTTCAAGAATCCAAGTCTATAGAGCGAGTAAAGAAATCAGGGGGGGACTCTCTCTCTGGTTTGCATTCCACAGTTTATTTCTGTGAAGGGGAATCCAAAGGATGAGAGACAAAGGATTTGGGGTCTGGGGGGGTCTCTTTTAACAGGGTTTCTCGGAGGGAGGGAACATCAGAGAGGGAACCAATTATTTTTCTCAGTTAGTACATCTTACAAACTTTCTACAAATCAAGGTTACACACACCAAGATAAGAAATAACAGACACTAACTTCTTCAAATGCCCACAAAGATGTAGGAGTATTCTGTACAGAGGGGCAGAGGGGGAGAGAGGGGGGGCTTGGTTTCCTGGCAACACAGGGGGGAAAGAAAGGGAAGGCAAGGTAAGCATGCCCTCTCAGCTTCCATAGTTTAGAGGCATTCTGGGACAGGAAAAAGTTACAAACTTCCGTGTAGGAAAGAAGAGTTCTCTTCTCCCAACCCCGTGCTTTCCTGGGCTAAAGAAACTTCAAGCAGCTGGAAATGCCAGCGGGGTCCTCTCTTTACTCTACCCGGCCTCTCGCCGTGGGGCTGAGGAGAGAAACTTCAGTAACCATGGTAACTTGACGCCAGGTAAACAGGAGAAAGAGAAGCTGGGGGGGAATCACAACTAAAAGATGGGAAAAGATACATTTCAGGCTATCAACTACAACATCTCCCCCTAATTTTTTCCAAAAGAAGGAAGGGAACTTGGTTTTACTTCTTCAAACCAAGGGGAAGGGGTTTGGGGTGTATTGGGATTTGGGAATTCCACAGCATTTATCTGAGGTGCAGGAGAAATTAACTTGGTGGTGGTGGTAACACACCAACGTTGCAAAACAGAAAACATAATCAAAACAACAACAACAATTGCAAAAAACCCTAAAACAGTCCAGAAAACAGAAGACAGCCATCCCGAAAATCCCCATCCTGAGAAAATGTCTACAAAACTGTCATACTGAGGATGGTTTCTTCTTAAAATACAGGTAAACAAGGAACAAAAACCATTAGCTAAATTCATCAATAAACAGATTCAACAGTGGAAAGTCAGGGTAGAATGGAGAATCTGGATTTCCTTCTCCACCCAAATACCTGTTTGTTCTTTGAACTTCTGCTACTGAAATATCGGGGGGTCTTGTGGGATGTTTTTCAATGTACGGTTTTACCCACCTCTGTGGGACCCACCGCAAACCCAGGGGTGTTGATACACAAGCGTATCCTCTTCCCCATGTCACTAATTTGTAAGGACCTTCAATTTTTCCACTCTCAGGGTCTCTCATCAGCACTGGTGGATGTTCCTTGAGCTTGTGTTTGCCATGAGGGGAGAAATGCTTAACCACTGGGGGGTTTTGATCTTCCATAGAACAGTTTAAAAAATTGAGAGTGAACAGGGCTTTGCATAATCTTTCCTGTGGTGTTAACTTTACTTTGTTTTTCCATTGATTTTTCAAAACTCTTTTGAGTGACTGGTGTGCTCTCTCTACTATTGCTTGACCTGTTGGAGAGTGGGGGATTCCTGTCTTGTGTCTCACTCCCCATTCCTGCAAAAATTCCTTAAACACTTTGGAAATATATGCTGGTCCATTATCTGTTTTAATTTCTTTAGGGATTCCTAGTACAGAAAAAGCTTGCAACAGGTGCTTTGTGGCATGCACACCTTTTTCTCCTGCATGGGCTGAGGCAAAAATTGCTCCCGAGAAGGTATCAATGGATACATGTACATATTTTACCTGTCCAAATTCAGGGATGTGTGTTACATCAGTTTGCCATACTTCACAGCTTTTCAGTCCCCTTGGATTGACTCCAGCACCCAGGGATGGCAGAGCTGTGCGCTGACAGTGGGGACATGTGGCCACAATGGCTTTGGCTTGATCTCGTTTCAGATTAAACTGTCGAATCAAACCTGGTACATTCTGATGAAACATTTCATGGCTTAATTTTGCCTGTTGAAACAGGTCAGGGAGTCTGGCCAGTCCAACAGGGGCAGCAGCCAGGGAATCAGCTCTGTCATTCCCTTCTGCTATGAAACCAGGTAATTCCATGTGCGACCGGGTATGCATAACAAAATAGGGATGTTCTCGATGGGAAACTGCATAAATTAATTTTGAGAGCAATTCAAACAAAGTTCTGTTTGAGATCTCCTTGAGGACTGCATTTTCTGCTCTGGAAACTACTCCTGCTACATAAGCTGAATCAGTGACCAAATTGAATGGTTCTGAAAACCTCTCAAATGCTCTAACCACTGCTGCTAACTCAGCAATTTGAGGGGATCCTTCTACATAATCAACATCTGTTTCCCACTGCTGCGTCTGAGGATCCTTCCAGGTCATTACTGACCTTCGGGATGCTCCAGAAGCATCAGTAAAAACAGTCAAAGCTTCAAGGGGCTTCTGACTCCTCTTATCTTTTGGTACCAAATTAAATTTTGAATTAAACAATTTGTGTGCAGGGGCATGAACTGAAATCTGCCCAGTAAAATTCTCCAGAGCAATTTGCAGGGTCTCTTGATTCCTCAAGAGGTGCTCAAACATTTCCCTGGTCATCTTCACTGAGGAGGTTTCTTCCTCAGAGAGGCTTAGGGGCAAATGTATACATGAAAAATCACAGCCAGCAAGTTCTCTCATTCTCAGCCTGGCCTTTCCAACCAGCTGGGCCATCAATTCCTGTGGCCTTGTAATATTTTTGGACCGATGGTGACTGAGAAAGACCCACTCAATGATTATCAAATGGTCTTTCTGGTCCTTGTCCCACTGAAAAATCAACCCCTGAAGGTGTGGCAATTTCCCCATTACAATAAATTTGAAAGGCAGCTCTGGATGGCATCTATGTGCCTGTCTCTTCTCCATCATGCTGCTTACCTTCTCTAAAGCATCCCTGGCTTCTGGAGTCAGAGTCCTTGGAGCACTCAGCTCATCTCCCCCTTTCAATAAATTGAAAAGAGGGGCTAGGTCATCAGTGGCAATGCCTAGCCAAGGCCTAACCCAATTCAATGTTCCACACAGAGAGTGCAAGTCGGCTAAGGTTTTGGGATTGCTGTTAAAAGCTAATTTTTGAGGAACAATTGTTTTTGCAGTGATTTCCAGACCTAGGTATTTCCAAGGAGGCATCTTTTGTACTTTTTCTTCCTGAAGGGTGAGTCCTGCAGTTGTTAAAACTTCGGTCACCCGGTCCAGTGTGGACTGGAGCAATTTTTCCTGGGGGGCACACACTAGCACATCATCCATATAATGCAGGATAATGGCTTCCCCCACCTCAGCTCGCACAGGGGATAACAAGGCAGCAACATACCATTGGCAAATCACAGGTGAATTTTTCATCCCTTGGGGGAGGGATTTCCAATGAAACCTTCTCATTGGGGCTTCTCTGTTGAGGGAAGGCACAGAAAAAGCAAACCTGGGGGCATCGATAGGGTCTAGAGGAATTTTGAAAAAGCAATCTTTGATGTCAATCACAGCCAATTCCCAATTTTGAGGAAGCATGGCAGGAGACGGCATCCCTGGTTGAAGAGGTCCCATGTCTACAATGACTTTGTTAATTTCTCTCAGATCATGAACTAATCTCCACTTGTCTTTCCCTGGCTTTTTAATGACAAACACAGGGGAGTTCCAAGGGCTAAAAGTAGGTTCAATATTGCCTTGGGCCAATTGCTCATCTACTAACTCGTTTAGCGCCTTTAATTTCTCTTTACTCAGCGGCCACTGGGGTATCCAAATTGGGGAATCTGTGGTCCATTCTAGTTTCTGGGTCTGGCGCTTCTCAGTGGCCGCAATCAAAAATCCCGAGGTGTTTTCGGAATTTCAATGCGGACTCCCCATTGGGACATGACATCTCTTCCCCACAGGGGAACCTGGAAATCAGTGACAATGGGGCGAATAGATGCTATTTGCCCATCAGGTCCTCTAATCTGAATGGGTTCCTTTGATATCTTGGCCAATTGGGCTCCCCCTATACCTTGGATGTGGCTAACCATCGGTTGCAGTTCCCATTGTGGTGGCCATCTCCTTTCAGGGATGACAGTCACATCTGCTCCTGTGTCTATCATGCCTGTCATTCCCATGCCTTCACTACCTTTTTTCAAATGGCATGAGATGATGGGTTTGTTTTCTCCCACTGCTTGAGCCCAGTAGATCTGAGGTGCTACATCATCTACTGGGATCCCTGATGGAATGGGAATAGCTTGAGCAATTACCTGCCCTTGTGCCAGGTAGAATGGTGGGTTGATGCACCGTGCCAAAAGGATGAGTGCATCCAAGTCAGCTGAAAGAGTGACAGGAGAAATTTCAATCTCTGGGGGTGTGTTTTTTGTGTCCCCAATAACAAGAAACTTACAATTCAAGTCGGGGGTCAGTTTTTCCCTCAGCGGGTCAACGGAAACAACCGTCCAGTGGCGAGACCTAAAAAATTGATCTTTCACAGTAAACAATTTGAGAGGTAATTTTGGCTTCCAAACCTCACAACCATTGGTGTTATTTCGGTGGCAGAAGTCAGACCTGTGAGAAACGTCACATTTAAGAGTGTTATCACATTCAATTTTCCCTCCCCCTG